CTGCTTGGCCTGTTGTGTTCATCCAGCCCTGCACCTTGTTGTCTAAGTTGAATCCTGTTTTGGGATGTTATGATACAGACTGTGTGACATTACAAATAAATGTAGTGAAGACCCAGTTATCTGCTCCCATTGTACGCTTACGCTGGGATTTCAGACAGTTTTTCCAAGGTTCATTTGCAGTTATTTTGATGACACAAAAGAGGTTGCTCTGTGTTTCCTGCTTTCATTCCACTTTAAACCCTTCATGATTAAGGGTCATCTGGGGTCTTGAGAGATCAAGCACAAGTCCAGCATTATTTTTCAACATTGATTGTACCCCCATCCCTCCTTCTGAAGACTTTGAAGAACTTGGCACTCTCACCAGCAACACCCAGAAGGCAACAATCTTGACAGCCAGTAATACAGATAGGTCTGGATCGAGGCTTCAATATTCTGCTTGATGGAGAGTCCAGCCTGTGAATATTGGGGAAGAGGGAGGACCTGTGGTTGAAGCTCAACTGGACCCTGAGAATATTACACGGGTGCTGCAATAGTTATAGGAAGTCCACTGGAACTTTCAGATGCTCTCAGCGTCCATTTTGACCAAAAGCTCCCCTTGAACTCCTATTGCTGTCTAAATGGGCGTCCAGCAACAGATGGCAATGGTGAGTACACCAAGCAGGGGAGCTTGATCGGCGGAGGCAACTGTGTCCTTTTCAGAAAGGAGCCTCATGTAAAGAAGGAACAACAGAGAGACAAAGGATTTCCTCAACCATTTGTGAATTACAGACTTAATTCCATTTAAATGTTTTGTTTTCCTAGTTTAACCTTAATTCTCCTTTAAGTCTGTAAAGACCTGATGCTTGTGGAATGAAGAACTTTGGGCCATTTGCGAGCTTAAATCTCATATTTTGGCAGAACTTTTTCTATAAAGGATCATTGTGATTTCTTTTTTTAAAGTTCAGCTAGTAATCCCGCAGAGGATTTTCTGGTAATCAGGACAAAGCATGAAGCCATTGTTGAAAATAAACATTCAGCTGATGTTGTACTTGAGGATTTCTCGTGCTGCTATTAACGACAATTTGTAATCTGTGATGGTCAATCATACCATTCTTTTCTTCTTTCTGTCTTTTATATTGCATCTGATAGAACCAATTAGTGATAGCCAAATTTTGCTGGTAATGGCAAGGGTAATTCCATTTTCCAAAAATGTAATTTTGCAATACCATGGAAGTAAATGACTACTGTCTATGCACATAGCTATGCAACATCATTCACCAGTCATTTTTTTCCAATTTCATATCCAATTGCATAAATCATTTTTTTTACTTCTGTGAATGGAGAAATTTCTGACCAGTCTTTTTTGCTTACAGAATCATTGAAAATTTATAGCAGAACAGGAGGTTATTTAACTTCTGCCAGTTCTTTGGAAAGAAACAAGTCACTTTGTGAATAGAAATCTTGTATCACAATATTAGACAATAAAATGTTCTTGAAGTTAAAATATGGCCAATTATGAACAAGTCCTGTTTAATGTAGAATCTAATGGACAATGGGTTGTTGCCAGGTTAATGTGCTGGCTGTCCGACAGTAATCAGTCTTCTCTTGTTATATCAATATTGACATTTGCAATTCTCACTACCTCTACATTGACTTAATTTAGAAGATGAACCATCTTTCTTGGAATGGAATAACCATTTATAACTGCTATATTTAAGGTTATGCAAGTTGACAAAAACAGGCCTTGCAAATCATTAGGCTGTCAAAATGTTTACATGCATAGGAGGTAACACAGTGCACCCTGACGCAAGTTTCTTTACACAAACCTGTTTCCAAACTGCATTCAACTGGACACCAGTAAATTAAACAGAGACAAGTTAGGTAGAGTCAAGCAAAGCATATTTTGTGTCAGGATTGGGGCACAAAATGCATTCAATCACCATAAAGGTTATTATTTGAATGTGGGCTGAAAGAGAATGAAAAAGAGAAATTGACAGTACTTGAGGGTGCATTTGCAATACTTACATAAAGTGCTATTAGGGCAGGTGAAACATTATATACAGCCAGATAATACCCTCTGCCTTGAAGCACAATTATTAACATTTGGTAAAAGAATATTTTCAATATGTTTTATACTGTTACAAACAGATCTGCTATTCTACATGTGTAAATATCCCAGAATTGTTGTTGCACACCCAGCATCCCACTTCTTTGTGTCCGTGATCTGAGGCACAGAAGCAAAAAGCAGACGTGTGAATTGTTCTGTGTTATAATGTATTACAGCCTTCAGTTCCTTGCAAATTACAACAGTCGTTCTCCTCTTGATCGGCACTATAGATTTGCAACAAAATCTATTCTCTAGACCCATCACATTTCACAGACAGGGAAGATTCAAATTAGAATAGTCTTTCAAAAGCACCCTGCAGGCAAGCAGTAATGCAATATTCCCTTCCTTTGAACCTTCTGAGTCTGAAGACAAGTTTAAATTAGTACAGTCTTTATAAAACTGTGCAGAATTAACATTTCAACTACAGTACTTTGTAGGATGGAACAGGGTAGCGGAACTACTGGAGAACATCCATTACCGTCAAATCATGTGTAGCTCAAGATGAAGTCTTTGTCCAGGAGAATCCCAAGATGATCCATGTTTCTCACTGTCCTTTATTTTCTTGCAATCCCAAAAATAATACCTGGATCTCCTAGTACAGCATTTAAATGGTAACAATTTTGGGGTAATGTTAAGTTCAGAATAATTGAATTTGCATAGTCCAAATATCCACATGATACTTTTACCTTAGCATTGCCTCTGATGTGAGATTTAGTGACCAAATTGAGTATATATCTCCTTTTAAAAGTTCCACATCTCTGCTTTGGCCAACTGAGTGTTTTAGAACATTTTTCAAGTTTCTACTGCCCAAATTTGCAAATGATGCACTTAAGGAATGGTAATAAATTGCTGAATTTAGTAACTTCCATGGTTAATAGCAATGCTGATGATTTTTCCAAATTTCAAGCAGTTCAAGTAGATATTTGTGTTCATAATTCAATGATTCCTGCTTCACGAAACTAGGTCTAAAATTCAAAGCTTATTCTTAACACATCTGCTGAATACCGTTAAACTGTAAGGAAAAATTCATTTACAGCATTTCAGTCCAGTTGCACAAAGGATTTAAATTGGGCAACATTGAATTGCAAAGCTGCTTAATTGAGAAGTTCTAATAGTTTCTAAACACAACAATAACGAGGATGAAATAGTTCATAAATATCAGCAGAACACAGCTTGAATGACTGCTGGCTATTTGTTGTCCCAAAGAGATTGTTAGTGGCTAATTCTGTTTGTTTTTGATTTTGTGGAGCGTAATAAGCACATTAAAATCATTAAGATATATAGAAGGATAGTAAAGCTAAGACGCAGACTGAACGTTATAAAATAAGCTATCAGCTAACAACTACCACAGAACCAAAGTAGGTTTTTCTCTCTTAGTACTGTCAGCAAATAAACAGTATACCATAGATGATGGTAATGCCATTTTAATGGCTATTGTTATCCATGTTTTATCAGCCAGTGAATAAACCCAAACATGAGCAATAATACAAGGTCATGGA